AACGAAACTGAAATTTGATACGGTCGGAGTTAGGTAATGCGCATCGGTATGCCAATACATTTGGTAGCCGCAGTATGTCTGGTCGCATCGCGCGGCTCGTAAAACTAAAGAGTGACTGCCATCGCGTGGCGGTACTTAGCGGATAGGCAAAAGTGCCACGGAGGAGGAAGGGAGAGACGGGCAACTGGAAACCAGGCAATCGAAGAAATTGCTGAGCGCAATTTTATATACACGGGATGGCTTTCGGGTGAACGTCGCATTCTGTTTAATGCGAAAAATATTTACAACGGCGTACAGGTCCGCGATCGACGCCTGTAGCCGGATAGGGTATATATACACACACAGAGACACACACACACGTGCAAGTACATACGAGATGACGCTTTTATTATTTGAGCGAATGTGCTCCGCGAAAGCGTGTACTACATCATAGACGTAACATTTTATGGGTCGTACCCGGTGACCTTATGAGGCAGTCGCTCCGGTGAATTCTTTAAGACTCCTGCAGAGATAATATAATCCGCTGTGCAGAACGCGAGTTAACGGATAACCAAACATCGTCGGATCCCAATAAAGAAACTGCGCGCGACGAAATAATGCTAGGCTACCCGCGAGTCGAAACTGACTCGATAATGACGGTGTAAACGGACGGTTCTATTAAGCGATAACTATGCACAGCGTAGTATGCACTTCAGAGCCTCTGATGTATGTGCCAGAGTCAGTAATTGACATATATTATACGAAATACGTGGATGAGAGGAAAACACGATTATAAATTCATACGTGAACAAATATTATCTGTCTTTTAAGTAATTATTTACTAGCCGTGCAGAAAGTCGAATATGAACGTGTGTCACGAGCTGATTGAATAAAGAGTCCTCCCGGGCGCGGAACAAAGTTGCCTGAAAAGTTGTGGCGGAGCGTCGAAAGGAGCTAACGAGCGGCAACGAGAACCGCCAGAACGAGCATCCCCGTTGCCTCATTAGTGACTTTTAATTTTCCAAAGCGAGTCTCTCGTTCGAGTACTCGGAAACGACCACTAGGCGTTGTCGCCGAGGAATAAAACGAGCGAGAGAAATGAACCGGGGAAAGAGGAAAGGAGGACGGACAGAAAGGGAAACAGCAACAGCAACACGGGAGAGCGACGCGGTGCGGTGGCCCGCGCACCATTGTTCCCTCGGTTCTTTATTTCTCCACCGACCATCTCCTCCTCCACCTCCTTGGTACCCCCTTTTTCTTCTGTCCTCGCCACCGCGCCGTGGCTTTATTGTGTTTGAGCTCGACGCTCCGCTCTTTTGTTTTGTTTCGCGCGCCATTAGAGGAGCTAATTGCCGCTCATACGCGATCGCCTTTTGTTTCCCTTCTTTTGCCACCTTTCCTTCCCCCGGCTACTTTCTCTCCTCTCGCTCGCGCCCCTACTCATTGTCCACTTCGCGTCCTCGTCTCTGCGGCCACGTACCGAAGAGGGCTGAGTCATACCTCCTTCACCCTCGTCTTCCCTTCGTTTCTGTCCCGACGAACGCCCCGCATCGAGAACTTGTCTTCCTTTCGCCGGGAAACGATCGGTTTTTATCATCTTCTCCCCCAATCGAGCTTTCACGCCACAGTTTCACGCTAGCTTTTTGACCTGCACCGATTCCGCGACAGAGAGAAACACGTTCTACAACTTTTTCAGTGCCAAATTGTCATCCTTCCGTTCGCTCAAGTACAATTTCGGAAAATTCAAAATAAAAGTAAACCCGTAACGATTTTTATGAAAGATCACAAAGAACGTAACTGTAAGACAGTTATCTCGTCGGAAGAATAGAGAAAAGATGTCGAGAGGCTCGTGGCCGAGAAAGAAAGAAATTATCCAGCAACGGGATAGACGGTTTTAATTCGGTGGAAAGCTAATAATTCCGGTATTGTACGATCCTTACCAACGTTATTGTTTCCCTGCGGGGAAACTCGTACTCGTGCCGGGAGGACATCTCCTCGTATCCCGCTTCCATCGTTCCTTTCAACCGAGCCCGAACAATGAGGAGAAGAGCCCTGGCTCTCCTCCCCCGTATATATATATATTGTAGCTTAATTATTGGCTTTATTATGATTTTGTCCTTCTCACCGAGAGCTAGCTCTCGCGGTCATCATCTTGTTCCCGGGCGAAAAAGAAAAGACTACGGAGATAAAGAACGGCGAAAAGGACGAGCGAGAGAGACGAGAGACGGGGACGAGGAGGAAGGTGCGCACAGTCTCGATGACAATACGCCTTCGTCCTCCCATTCCCCTCGCCTCTTACGCTTATTAGAACGAAGCTGAGAAAGGACTTTGAGCGAGCAAGCGGCTTCATTATTAATTTCGAAGGGGGCTCGACAACGACCATCGACACTCGCTCCGGCTTTGCTACGCCAAGGTCACGCGTGCCGATTAACCCTCTCGCGGCAGTACTTTTGAATAAAAAAGGAAATCAAAGAAACGCGCACCGAGGGTGGCGTTGAATGAAAAGGGCACCGAAGTCACTGCACGAGTCTCTCATCGGTCGTCCGATGCCTGCCATTTATTATTTCATTGTGGCACACGGCTCGTTAAGCCCGGGAATGTAAACTCCCATTGTTTTCGGCTAATCGCGTTCCTTACCAATGCAAATGAGAAATCTAACGAAATGGCCACACGGCATTCGAAATATTACAATATGAAGGATTTTAATTCTTTGAGAAATTCAATATAAATAGATAAGCCATTATCAGAGAGCTCTTATCATTTCTAATCTGGATACGTATGAGAAAGAATAAACTATGATACGATGAACGTGAGCGAAACTTAATTGGAAATCAACCCGCAATTGAGTTTCCATCAGATCGCAATAAATCATGAAACAAACGAGGTAAAAGTAACCAAGCGAGTAATTTAGAACATCGTGTACAGGCTTGTCCACCCTTGTAAAATTACACGACCCCGTTTACCGTCCGACTCGACCCGCGAACGTGCACCGCGGGGGTGGTTGTTGAAGGCATCCCGAAGATATTCATCGAAAGAAACGAATTCGCACGAAAGCCGACGCTTGAACTCTCGGGGTTCGAGTAATCGCGTGATTGCAACATCGCGGTAATTACAGTGCCGGTGCGGCGCGAGCCTGCGACTGATTTTCTCGGAAGCGATTCGAAAAAGGCGAAACGTCAGCGCGCTGACCGTATTGTACGTTTACGCGAAGGGTACGAGCTAAAAGTGGTAAAACTCGAGTAAAATACAATAAGAGAGAACTAACAATGTTGATGTGAATCAGTCTACCAATTTCTCGTTAAATTAATATTGACCCTGTACTGTTATGATAGTAATCGTATCAATTATTTTCAAATTATTAACGTCGACGTAAAATTGATTTTTCCAGCGAAACATTGATTTTGAATAAAACGGACGAGATTGGATATTGTGATTTTTAGCTTCGTGACAGACCGGTTCGGATATGGAGACAGAGAGGACATGGCATGTCCCCCGTAATTATAGCAACAATAAAACAATTTTGATAATTATCTCAACTAGTGTATGGGAACACACGACATTACGGCGGGCACGGGTATAGAAACGAGGAGGGCGAGGGAGCGAGCGGGGAAGGAACAGAGCGAGAAAACACGAGAGGCGAGGCGAGGCGAGGAGAGGAGAGGAGACACAACGACCGGGGCAGAATAATGACAATAATTACCATTTATATGCAAGTGCCGTCATTACCTGCACACGAGCAGAGTACGCATTCAATTTCGTATCTAATTTGAATAATTCAAACAAATCTCTCCTTCCTGCCCTCCTTCCTCTGCACGCTTTATAATCCCAATAAACGCGACGAGACATCGACGGTGATTCGCTTTTTCAGTACACAGACATACCCGTGTACGTATGCAGCCAGGTACCTACGTACCTACTTACGGCTCGCGTTTTATTTTTTATGTTTACCTCGTTTCCGTATTTACCTCGTGCGCTGCCCAATTGCGCGGTAACAATCGTTCGTTATCTTTTTTATTAAGCTAATGAGAGGAATCGTCGTATTTTCCTTCTTACGGCTCACGATAATCGCGTGCGACCGGCGAACGACGCAGGAATTATTATGTACCGTTCAGCGGTAATTAGTTTTATAAGATATCAGCGGATGACTCGGACGGACTAATGTTTCTGAATTATGGCTGCAATAATTCACCAGAGAAAATTGCGTCTTTACTGTTGTGGCCAATCTCACAGTATATCTTCGCGACGTTGTGACAATAATTACAAGCCTATGAAACAGTTGCTTGCAACAGGAAGCAACGATTTTAAGTTCTACTCTCTAAAACGGCGATCGACTTAAATCCAGAAGAATCGTGTTTATTAATTAAGACACCCGAACTGATTGAGGGAGACTGGCGAGATTTTTACCCTGAAATCGGGCGCCCGTGGCGATGTTTGCGCGCAGTCGTGGCACCAAGCAAAGTGGCCTTATCAATATTAATCGCAATATTTGCTCGGCATGCTCTCCGTCGCACTCTCTATTACCAATTAATCCGGTCGTGCGAAGTATGCTGTGAACGAGCGGATAGGCCAGAGCACGCGGTACCAAGCGAGACAGACCGGGAGTAAGAGAGACCGGGGTACAAATAAAAATGATGGTACGTAAGAGACGGTAAGCGAGCGCGAGAAAGAAACGGCGAGAATAGAGAGCTACGAGAGGCGAGGGGACTGGAGAAAGAGAGAGAGAAACGACTCGTTGACGGGTTAGATATTGTGTCAGCCGAGTCGTCCAGCATTAAAAGTAATTACGACGTGATTGACCGAGGGCCCGTTGGCCGAGGGCGAGGCGACGCCGAGGGGGAGGCTAAATCATCGGAGTGACGCACGTAGCTCGTTGTTGCCTCCCAATTATACAATCAGCGGGACCGAGCGTAGGGGAGGCGAGCGGAGAAAAACCGAAAGACAGACGAGAGAAAGGGAGAGAAGGCCCGGCCGATGGTGGCGATGAAGAAAGAAGCGAAGAATGTACAAATGTATATACGTACTTGGATCTCGTGTGCCGGACGAAAGACGCGAAGAGAGACGGCGCGGTGGCGGAATTACGTCAGGAACGTGGCGGGCAGTCATCGTCCACCACGACTCGGCGAAGATCGGTGCCATAGTGCCATCGTGACGATAATTGTCGACCGGAACCAACGCGACGAGGCGCGAAGGGGATGCAGATCGAGATGCTCGGACATCGGTTCTCTCTGGAACAAGGGAAACGATACATCGTGTTAATTGATAAGCCCTGTGCGATTATGTAAATTCATTTTTAAATCTCAAAACACAGTATCTCATTGGCAATATGAAGAGTACTAAATACATGGTAGTTCGGTATAAATTAGATGAATTAATGGTAACGAGCTAGAAACCATTCCTTAAACTTGTTTAATAAATGGATTATGAAGCGACACGGATTGATCGTGATTGTTATTGTCTATTATAAAGCCTCGGCGAGTTGGCCTGCGATGCAGCTGTCGTTTCGTGCGACGACGACGACGATGATAGTTTATAAGTCGTGATCTAGAAACAAATGAGCCATTGTGGCGGACAATCGTTCCGTTAAGAACCGGGAGGAGGGCCAAATAGGCGTGAAGAATCGAACCGGCCCAGCTGGCAAGAAGAAGTAATCGATTTCGACGATGGTGTTCCCGTCGTCCTCTCCCGCCGACGACGTTCTAATTCGACTCGTCGGTAAAGGATAATGCATTTCGCGCTCCAACACCTCCCAAGTGATACGAACTACCATTCTTCCTTTGTCTAGCCGAGAAAAATTCAACTTTCTATTCTGCATTGACATTTGCAATTTTTTGGTCAAACGACTAGTCTATTTAGTATAATTTTTTACATTTGACACTGACTGACAGGATAAAATAGAAATGTTTCTGAAGTATGAACACTTTAAATAAAAGATATTGCACCTGTGCTGAATCGTTTTAAGTATTTGTCAGAACGGTGCCAGAAGAATAATGTTTTGATTTAGTTAACACAGTATTGTTCGTTCACATAAATGGTCGTGTGCGCGCCCTTCCAAGTATAAGTACTTACTCGATGGCTGGAGCGTTTCGCGCTACGAAGTACTACGTGCCAATCGAGAAACAAAGGGTTGCACGAGTTGGCAAGGGTGACTCGGTATGACGATCGTACAACAGTTTCTATGAAGCCTTTTCTTCGAAGCTACGGCCCATTAATGGGCGCCCCCGTCCCCCTCTCATTCTTTCTCTTTCGCTCGTGAACGTTCATTCCGTTATTTTACTGTTCGACTCTCGACTTTAGTGCCTTTTCAAGGTTGTACTCGAAGACATTCATCGTGATAAATAGTCTTTCGCGAGTACAATTAACGGAGCTCGCTTTCATACCAGCAAACGCGATTCCCTCGCGCGGTAATTATTCAGAAAAGCTTGCCACGTCGCGTGGGAACATATAATTTGAATGAAATTTTTCGTAAAAGAAAGAATAATTAAATTGTTTTTCATGTACCATAATTTCTTATATATTTCAGTCTCATTTCCGTAAATAATAATCATTGAGAAAAACATGTCATTTGATAGCGAGGCGTTAGTACCTCGCGACAAAAGAATTCGATTTAACAGTTAAGAGGAACGTGTTAATTGAGCATCGAACTCCGATGCCGAGTGGGCAAGACGAAACGTGAAAGTAAATTAATTGTGACTGGTCGTACGTGTTTGACTTTCGAAATCCTCGATCTGCGTCGCGACGCTAATTCGTCAGCGAAGAAACGAGTACGCACACACATATACAGCTCTCGTTTATTCGCGATGCGTGCACGAATTCGCATTGCGCACACGTACGGGCGCGCATGTATGCCACTCCTATATTTAAGCCGCCGATTTTACGACTTTGCAGAACCGTGATTACGCGAACGACTACAAATTCTACAAACTATATCTTCGACTGCGACGTTAAACACCGGCATTAGTTCGGAATCTAACACCCTGCATGCAATTTTAAATCAATGTAATCAATGTACAATAAGCCCGTTGTACTAATTTATTTCATAGTGAAAGTATGGTTCTCTATCGGCATTTCAATCAATCTGGCATTTTAATTAAAATTTAATAACTGTACATGCATTTAATATCAATTCGACGTCTTACTCCTAAATCTTTTAATAGACCTGCTTGAGAGATCAGACTCCACGCACAAACGATTCCCATGCAATCGTTGTCGAACAAAACCATTAGCATTAATTGAACGGTAACAATTGAGCCGGGCACTCGAGCGCGATTATCCCCGACGCAGTGTGTCGATCGCATCGATTTCTACAATCCGTCGGGCAACATGAAAGAAATCGGTTGTAACTCGCATTTCACGACTCATCGACGAGAGCCCCGGATCGATCGATCGATCGGCACTCGATCTCGCAGATTCGAGTTCCGTGTACACCGGTGGAACTCCGCGTCCAACAGTTATCCCGAGCCATCAACGCGGCCGAGGTTTGAGAAGTGGGTGTACCCTCCTCGCGCAGTGGTACACCGAGCCTGGGCGTTAAAACGTATCGAAAAGAGACAGCGCCGTCGTATTTATGGGCACGAGGCCCCGGCGCGAGCAAGAACGAGACGGAACGAGCCGATCGGTATGGACGCGGCGGCGGATCCGGGCTAGGTCGTTCAACCAACCGGTGAACCGTCGAACAATCCGGAGCGACCGGACTCCCAGCACCTTGCTCTCTTAAACAGTCCTTAACCCTTTCGCGCAAAGTATTGCACAGCCCGGCTGAGTCGTAAACTTTGTGAACTGATGGGCTCGCGTACAAGCTAATTATAAGAATTCTAGCGAATGTTAAATAGGATACGTTCATACAGAAAAGACATATTGGATCGTAAATTATTCTTCTAAAATGTTTGTAACCAGTCGAAATATCAGAATGAATATAATTGATGCTATGATCTGAGAAGACTCGTACTAACTCAAGGGATTTTAAATCGCGGAAGTGATACAGAGAAAACAGCGAACTGCAGCGTATCGTACAGGAATTAAATAGCAACGGTGGAGATTTTGTGTCTCTTTTCACAGGCGTGAACCAGGCATAACTAGCCAATCTTACAGAGAAATCGGCGTGCGCGACGATGCACGCCACGAGTACTTCGCTCGCTCCGATTGTACCTATCGACTCCCCAGGGTGGAGTCCAAAGGCTCGTACGGTGTATTAATAACGTCGCCCTGATTTATCGCGTTGCGAGGATTTCACCCAGTCGTGAGCTAGCGAAAGTGTTTCGAACGCGAGCTTTGTAGTGTACGCACGCTGCTTAATTGAATTCGAATCTGCGGATCCGTCGGCCGGATTTCAGATCAGTAAGACGATACTCGATTTCAAATGAAATAATCACGGTTACGAACGAAAAACCTGATATCGAATACAATAAAAAATAAAATATCGCTGAGAAAGACGAAATTAAACTTGAAATTGTATAAGCCTAACACAAGACAGCAATGTTCGATAATGGGAATGAACGGAAACACTCTAGTCCATAAGAAATGTCAGAGACCGAACTTATTGCATCTTAAATAATGCAACGTTGATGCACTGGCGGAAAGTATAACAGTAGATGGACAGACGAATTCGTGCTCCTTTGAGGACGCTCTTAAACGTTTCACGGATTCCGGCTCTGTCAAACAAGCTCCTCCATCGTTTGTTTCCACTTGTTTCACAGAATCTCTTTATGCAGTCTAACAATCTTATACATACTCGCGTAGGTTGTTACACATACGAAAAAGTCTAGCTGCCATGTATCTCGGAGAGCCGTGGCCCGACCGACTCGCAGTAACGATAAAATGTTTCGCGAAACGGTCCGAGTAATTGTTACAAGAACGGGAGTAGGGGAGGGTGGCGAGGAGGAATCCGTTACGTCGGGCCGGTGAAATTTAAAAGGTGCAAAAAGGAACGTAACGGAATTAAAAGGGCGTCGTTTATCGGCACCTTCCGCTGAGTTACTTCGCCATTAAACAGATTAAGAGGGTACGATCAGGGAGAAAGCACTTGTCCTCGTAAAAACAAAACCGCCTAAATCAATGATATCTCGAGCCGTGCTCCACTCGGAATCGTATAGCCCGCTCCCTGGTTACCATCCCGCCCACAGTTACCGGTTACGTGTTTACGTTCCCTACCAAACGGAACGGAATTGAGAAACGCGTCGTCCCGGTATCAAATCGTAGCACACGGCCGAGACGACGTGCCTCCCCCGGGCCGCGTTCGTCCGTTCCTTGATCTCCGTGGAATAATATTCCCGTACAGTTCTTTTTTTTTTCTTTACGACGGCCACGTAGTATTCGAGACGGTGGAGTAAGGAATCGAAGCGGCACGAGCGGAACGAGGAGAAGAATAGAGGCAGAGACGCGGCGGAGGAGCTCCACCACGGAGAATTGAAAATGATGATTGGCGGTAAGCGGGCTGCCAGCAGTGATGGAGGAGCCGGCAGAAGAGAGGTGGTCAGGTTCGAAAGAAGAACGGGTTGGTTACAGAAAAAGATAGAGAGAGACGGAGTGAGAGAGGCGATGAACGTGGCGAGGGGTTCTAAATAAGAAACCCACGAGGGGGAGGTGGAAGCCTCGGCAAGAGGACATCCAACCTGATGATGACCGGCAGAAGGGGGACCACGGTAAGGAAAAAGAGTCGGGAGCGCGCGAATTAAGTCGATCGCGGTGCGTGGAACCACATCCTTCGCGCCCGCTACCACGCCGAAGGATATCGCTTTCCCTTCGTCCCGTTCCGACACGCTCAAGCCCTCTCCGTCCCACACACGTTCCTCTCCCGTATCTCTTCTTTATTATCGACATCAAGCGTCGTCTTTTGTTTTATAATAACCGCGCCGTGGCTGCGGTCGCGTCGTTCTCGAACACCTCTTTTTGCAACACCGCTCCTCAACGAATAAAGGGAACAGATGAAAGGGCCCAAGCGTTTCCGATAAATTCCCAATACCGTGACCATGAACAGATCCAATTGCCCTTTGCTTTGTACCGAGTTAATTGCCATTAGTTTCAGATAAATCTCATTGCAGCTCGTCTAATTTCGCTTAACTAACACCATTTTACCAACTTTACCATCCACCAACTTTACCAATTCTTCTAACGAATACGTACATCGTGCTGTTTCATTAGTAAACGAACTCACATTAAGTTTTGCTTTGAAACCGTAACGGGAAATCTTGTCCGCATTCAAACAAAGGGAACAATGTTTCGAATCGGA